GCTAAATCCCAGCCATTGTGCTAGCCACTTTTACATGCCTGATCTCATTTATCCCTGACCACAATCCTGCCAGGGAAGGGAAGTATTCTTCTCCCTACCCCTTTCCCCGTTTTACGGCTGTAGACCGTGGGGCTCAGGGAACCTGTCACTGTTAAAGGTCACACGAGTAGTGAGCGGAAGAGGCAGGCAGGATTCAAACCCGAACCTGACTACAGTCAACACTCTTTACCAAGAGTCCACTTTAGAATATAAGCGCTTGAGCAGCAAAACTTCAACCTCATTCATTCATTTATTCTACAAATATTTATTAAGCCAGTATGTGCCAAAGTCAAACACAGAGAATACAGAGATGAACAAAACAGACAAGAATCCCTGCGTTTAGGAGCTTACATTCCAGTGGGAGGAGTCAGGAGATAAATAATATAAATAATAAAAGATATGTTAGATACTAATGAATGCAAGCGAGAAAAAAACAAAAACAAGGCGGGAAGCTCTTTCTTTATATCCCCAAGGGACATATCTCTTTGGCAGGAAGAAAGTTTACCTCATTCACCACTGCCTTTTTTTCCCTGTCCCCACCCCACCACCCTCTCGGGTGCTTAAGGCAAGGCCTGGCACTCCCTTGGGCGGAGCTCTCGCTTTTCGGGAAATGGTATTAGGAGTCCTGATTCTAGGCCTTGGGCAAGTCCCTGCCCCTCTCTGGGCCTCGGCCTTCCTATCAATATATGGAGGAGTTGGAGGATCCCTAAGGTCCCTTCCAATCTGACGCTCTAGGATTCTATGAATAGGGTTAAAGAGAACGGAGACCGGCGATTGCTTCCCCATCCTAGCAACCGTTGCTAGACGAGGGCCATCTCCTAGTAGGCGTGGAAACCCCTCCCTGGATCGGGGAGGTCTTTCTGGCATCCCGTCATGCATAGCGACTTCGCCTCGCTAGGAGGCACGTTTGGGCCTCTTTGGTCACGATCAACCCTTTGGCTCCAGCCAGAGAGCGCGCCTTGTTCCTATGGTAACCGCGCCAGGTCCACGCGCAGACGGCAAGTGGCAAGGGTCAAAACAGATGCGCAGAATAGAGGCCCTCGACCTGATCGATCTGTGCCTTCGGTGCACCGGACCTTTAAGTGTCATGTGACACCCTCCCTCGTCTCGTCCCCGCCTCTTTCCCCTCCCCGGCCCCGGCGAGCGCTGGTGTGGACGGGAAGCTCCCGGCCCAACGGATTAACTGGAGCACGGACGCTGCAGCCGGTTGGGCCAGTGCCCTTTCCCGGTAACTCCTTCCCGGCGTGACGCGCGGAGCCGCCAACGCGGCGGAGCCGGGCAGGCTCAGGGATCTGCCGTCAATTTCTTGTTGTTCCCAGTCCCTGGTGGGCCCGGGGAGAACCGGGAGCCTACAGGGCCCGGCCCAGGGCTCTCCGGGGGACGGCGGGGGAGGGGGCGGTCTCCTGAAGGGTGGCGACCTCCGGCGGGAGCTTGAAGCAGGGCTCAAACTTAGAGTTCGTCTCTGGGAGCCTCTACAGGGTCCTGGAGATGCAGCCCAGAGGGCAGGCAGCCTACCTGTTGGGCAGGTGGTTTCCTGCCCTGAGGCCAGCACCCTGGAGCTCCAGCCTGTCAGCAAAAGAACTTCACAGCCCCCCCGCCACTTGGGCCCCTCTAACTGGAGGGTACTGACACAGATGAATAAGGCAGTGATCCATACTGTATATTAGAAATAATAATACTAACTACTACTTAATCGTTGTTAACTTGGTACTCAGTAAATCTTTTACATACATTTAATCCCCCATGACGACCCTTCAAAATAGTATTATTCATTCCCATTTTATGAATGACACTGAGGTTTAGCATGTTTAAAGAACTTGCCCGAGGTCATAAAGTGGAGGACAAATACAGGGAGGAACTGGTTTGTTTTAGGATTTGATTCTGCATGTATGCAGTTCTAGACATTGGTCATCAGATTAGTCAATTTTGTGGAGGCTCCTGAGAAGCATTAAACTCCCACTTGTCAAAATCCACTGCTGTTACAGCGTTGTTCCTCTTGAGTCAGGTGTCACGTTAACACTTGAACCTTAAAACTTTATGAAAAATCAAGGTAAATGTGACCCTTGAAAAGACATTGGTATAACAAAGATCGTAATTCTGAAAGATAAATGTCTACAACACTAGCACTACATTGTTCAATAACCAGCCAGGATTGTTTCCAAAACCAGCAATAAATTCAATCACTACGCTCACCAGAGATGGAACTTAAACTTTTTAAGACCACACCTGTTCTCCAGTCTTTTCTGTTAATTCTTCTTTACTTGGAAAACTAAATTTATTTCTGACCACTCTTTCTCATCTGAGGTTTCTATTTATAATGATCCTATTACTAACAATTAAATTTAAGAGAAGCTTCTCATTTTCTTGTTTAAGTGGACATGGTGAGAAAGAATAGAATTGAGGCATACTAAGTCTTAACTGCACAGTTTTTAAAGAGTATTTCATATTTGTACTTATTTAACATCCAAACACCACAACTATCTCATTTTGTAGTTCAGCACATGACAAATCTTATAATTTTATGAGTTTATTTAACATGTACTCAGTGAATTATTCTTAAACCATTTATTTTGTTTAAACTGTTATTGTCAGAATAAATGAAATAGTGCATTTAAGATGTAGTCACCCTGATTACCCTATTTATGTTTTCCCACATTCACTTATTATTTCTGCATCTCGTTCATTTTCAGTCATTTCTAAAGCTTTTCTAATCCAAGATTCTGGAGAGTTGCTATTCTTATTGTTCATTTTTTCACCCTATAATAGTTCTTATTTGTGATATTCAAAAGTAGTAGTGAGATTTTTTGTTTTAAAAGATATGGTCAAACAGCTTGACACTTTTCTTGCAAAATATCTTCTGTTTGTTTTGTTTTTCATCTATATATCTTATATCTTTACCTAAAAAGCAAGACTGTCCAGGTTTCTGCCACTGAAACTTAATTTCCTCTTCAATCATTTCAGCTCTGGAAAGGAAGAGAAATGGAAGTGAAAAAGTTGAGCATTTCCTGGCAGTTCTTGATAGTTCTGGTTCTGATCCTGCAAATTCTGTCTGCGTTGGATTTTGACCCATACAGAGTCCTAGGGGTCAGCCGAACAGCCAGTCAGGCTGATATTAAAAAGGCTTATAAGAAGCTCGCCCGGGAATGGTAGGTGAAACAAAGAAATAGAAGTTTAATATAAGCTAAGCAGTCTTAGTAGGGGAATGAAGCCTAAATTATGATTAGCTTTTATTTGTCTCTGTTCTATGTTTTATGTATATATAATATTTTATGTAGGAGAACTGATGTTCATATTCTATAATTTTTAGTGATAAGATCCAAAACCTATGTTTACTCTAAAAGTCCCTTTTAGGAATACTTCGGCTTAAACAATTGCTTTATATATTGTTAGCATATTTAATGTTAAAGTAAAAAGAGCTTTAATTTTTTAAAAAATGTAATCAACAATGGATAAACTACCCTTCCCATGATATGTTATTCTTAAAGTAACTCTTTATGAGTGTAATTGCTAAGGGGAACAGTATACAATCCTGTTCTCCCAATTATTAATTTTTAAGCTTTAAAAAAAAAGTTTAGAAAGCTTTAATTTTTAAAAAATGTAATCAACAATGGATAAACTACCCTTCCCATGATATGTTGTTCTTAAAGTAACTCTTTATGAGTGTAATTGCTC